TCACCTGATGTTAATACTGCGAGAAAATGGACTTGAAGCACTGCAAATGAGTATTTGAGAATCAAGAATTTCATATTCACACGCAAATATACTGTTATTAGCTTAGACCCAAGAAGACAAGATGCCTTAACATAGAAAATGCAGTATGCCCTTACGACATGATCATTAGCAANATTAGCAACATTATATGAAATATTGATTTGAATTTGAATAATTTGGTTCCTCGAATTTGTTCAATAATTTGTTGAATTAACTCCTTTCTGATTAATAATGAACATATCGGTTCGAAAAATATTTTTGAACGTGTCCAGTATCGATATTTCAATAATTGTTCGATCCCAGGATTATCCCGGGATCAAAAATCGATCCCGGGATTAAATCCCGAGCCCGGGATTGAAAAATCGTCGGGATTTTACAAACCCTAGTTACTACTGTCGCAGCTCTAGTCATCATCAAACGCTCTGCAACAATGCAATGCCGCAACGAGCCATCAGCGTTCAACTGGCAACAATCAAGCCATACAACAACCAAACCCGCAATCTACAATGACAACTGTCGTCCACGGAACCAACAAAGGATATGATGCTGCATGAAGTGAATGCCGTATTATTCGGACAGAAAAACTCTGAAGAAATTGAACACGCGACAACGCAGACTCTACTCTCAACCGTGCACGCTGAAGCCTTCAGTCCAATAAATCCCCAACAACGATACACAGTCGTTGTATTATTCGAACTTGCTGACATTCCATACGCTCACTCCGTGTTTTCTTTGAATAGTTGTTTCACGAATAAAAATTTCCATTATCAAATGCCACTTAATACTTCTGATAGTATCATTACTTTCGTTCTTGCAAATTGTCGCTGCTGTTTTTATTCCAAATATCTCATCGTTTAATCATTTCCGTGATGAATTTTATCCGCTGAAATTCTCGAGCATCCACCTCCGACTGTGAATTTAGATGACGAAATTTAACAATACTGAACTTTGTTCAGATTGGATTTTGGTTCTGGATTCATGGCATACGATTGAATTCCTAAATGATAACCAGTAGTGAACTGTTCTGGGAAACTATCTCTTACAAGTCTTTTCGACAAGTGCTCACCAGGGATGCTCCAATTCCTCGTTTCCATTTCCATTTCCTCTGATATTTTCTTGTAAATGAAACAAACTTCTTTTAAAATGTATTTTTGCAACACATGCAAATCTCCGGAGTTTAAAAAACTTAGATAGTTTCAGAAACCCTTCGAAATACATTTTCTGGTTTCTATAATCCAGACTAGACAGAAGCCGCTATTTCATTTCGTAATCATCCGTTCGGATGTGAAGACAGTTCCAGAACGGAAAAAACACATGGACAACGACCTTGTGCTCGGTTCTACGCTGTTTCAGCATCGCGACGCACGACATCTTAATATTTCACTATTTTTGGTTTATTTTATGGTGGTACACCTTGGAATATAATGAAACTGTTAGATGGTTCAGTACCTTTCATTTTATAGTAATGTAATACACATTTGAGTGTTTGGTGAATTCAATACATTTTGAAAATAAAGAACTCTGCAGATATAGATCAACTCCAAAACTATTTACAAACAGTATAATATCAAATGTAACGGCTATAACGGCTTTTAAGAGTATAAAGCAATGAAAAAGCAACGGAATGAGATTTATATTCATTTATTTACGAATTATTATTGTTTAAAAGTGAAAATGAGACACACCTTTTCATGTGCTTCAGTAAGAGCTTTAATTGGTGCACTATCAAACTGTCAAATACCAATATAAGTTTCAAAACACCCTGTTTTCAAACTAAATTTCTGGAGATTTTGAAGTTCTAAAAACCCTTCGTCCTTAATTCTGAAACGCCTCACTTTTGAACTTTCTTAATTTCAACATGTCCAAATTTTCAATTTTCTTATTTTAAATAAAACAACCGAAAAAATCATTACATTCGGTGAAACTTTAAACCATTTATACCATATTTCCTTCAGTAATCCTCCCATGTCAACTAAAGTTTTGAAAAAATTTCAGCATGTGCGTATCTTTCTACCAAATTGAATTTTACTTCTAAAATTGATTTGAAGACGCAGGCACTATTTTAATTATTCGGTGGCTTTGTTCACATACTCATTAGCCTTGTTTTCGCCATGACGGGTTCTAGGAAATTTACATCCAACTCTAACACGTTAGAAGAATTGCACCTCATCAAGGAAATACGGTATCACTAGTTCGAAAATATTCAGCTGATAATACATTCAAACACATTACCATATAAACAGCCAGAACATCGAAAGCATAGCACCAAACTACTGAAATGCCTACACCTCGTACTTTTCATAAAGACGGCTTAGATGATGTTCCACAAGCAAGCCACTTATTATCAGAAGAATAGTGACAAATACAAGCCTCGCCTAACCCTAATTTAACCGCAAAAAATTGTTCCATAAAAATATGCCAGTTCCAGCTAGACCTCATAACTAACTCCATCTTTAGATGCAGCTTCTTCGTGTGTTACCATCAATTCATAACTTCTGCTTAACAATTGAATACTTTAATCTTTCGACGTTGCGATTTGTCAACATAGCAGCTGTGCAGCGCCCACTTTTGTGCTACAGTTCCGACATTATTACTGAAAATCAAAAACTCAAATAAGCCTTTAGAGAGAGATTCGGGACATTTTAAAGCAATCATACTTGGACTGTGACCTTTTGAAATGACATGCTTATTCATCTAACATAACTGCAGTTAAAAATCGGAATGAAAACAATTAAAAATATACAATGAACTCTCGCCCATTGCATCGCTATAATTTAGGACCTGGTTAGTCAGCGATTTATTTTTCGAAGCCTTACGTTCATTGATTTATAAAGAAACAGTAGTTTGTTACTTTTATCCGATTCCATTCGCAACGAATTTTTCAAATGAATCCCTTGCAAACAGCGAGAGTTCAATGGACTCCAAAACAGGAACAATGAAATGCAGTTAGGAACAATATAATAATTATAATCATGTATAAACAAAAATTCTTTGATTTGATCAATCAGTAAGTCAATATACAAATATACAATTTAAAAGACAAACAGAGAAAAGAATACCCGATGGGACTTGAGACATTATTATATAGCGTGAAAGTTGTTAAATTAAAAAAGTATCATAAAAATTAATCAAATTCGTCGGAATAAAGCAAAATGAAAGCTTGAAATTACAATTGAACAGAACAATGAGCTGTGAGATGATCAACGGAACAACTCATAACAAAACCGTTTTTCAGTAACATTAAATGACCGGTACGCTAGCAATATGAATGAAACGATAAACAAAATGAGAGGCGAAAAATCGAAATTTGATTTATCGAAAGGACGCATGTAATGCACACCGTTTCTGAAGTAAAATATAATATATTTTTACTTCAGAAACGATATGGATTACACGGTAAACCATTCAAATATTCGAAACAACTTCACACATTCATACCAAAAACCGTATCACTGAACGATTCGCTATCGAAATTCATCAATATGTGATAGCGTATTGTGCTAAATGAGGAATTTCGGAGATCCCGCCTTGACTTCATCGACATTTTCAGCGTTCCCAATCACAAATTATACCCCGACTTTGTTCCTTCCCCGCATCGTCCTAGTTTACTCGACGGTCATGAATACGAAACATATTCCTATCTGTGTTGGTGAGAATTAAGTTTCATCACTGGAAATGATAAATTTGAGTCCCTCCTGTGACGTCAGGTTTTGAGGTGACAAATCGGTTTTATGCTTGAAACACCTCACGTTTCTAAAGCGGCTTTGTCATGACGATTCTTATCTAAAAAGCCCATTTACCTCATACAACTAACTTCATATTGAGTACGAAGAAATTCATCAAAATATCTGACAGTACAACTTTTGAACTCACAACAACATTCCCATATTCTCATGTGTCCCTTGAGAGGAAACAGTGATCCTCACGTTAGAGATCTATCTAATTTTACTGAACAAATCTTTCGAAAAATTCTTTTAGAAAAAGCATATCATAACTGATGATTCGATTTTTCTATGTAAGACTTAAAATAAAATACCTAATTATGAAAAATTATGAAGTTGTCTCCCTAGAAGCGTTTTGGTTTTGATCTTTGTGCTAATTACAAAGATAAGAAAGGTTATACGAACAAAATTAAAAACGATATCATTATCATTCAAATCGCACGACCAAAATTAAAATGTAGAATAAAGATTTTCACAAAGACATAAAAATTTCAACTGGAGATGTGTTAACTTAAATGACTCTAACATTGACAGTAACATTAAAACTGCCAAAGCAATTGTTTAGTTCATGCAAAGATTGAAAAAACAAGATATTCACAACAAAACGAGGAACATAACCTTATTCTATAACTCATTAGCTGATATTCAATTAATTTCTAATCACCATCGTGAACTACTAGCGGAAATGAATCCGCATAACCCCAATATTCTGCGACACTACTCAACAGATGGGACCAATAACCATTTCGCAACGGCAAAAAAAGCGACTTCGAGAATGGCCGAACCAAACGAATATAATAATATTATACAAATATTCGTTGAGATGAAAACTGAAAGTGACAAAATGAATGGCAAGATTCAGCTGCGTGGTAGAAGGAAGTATATCTTGAGAATAACATGATTCTGTCGCGAATAAAATTCATGAACGAAAGCAATTTGGAGCACATCTACTCACTGAACACTATTAGAATTAGAAACTTCGAAGATGAACACAGTAATGAAAGCTACCCAAGCCAGGCCGATGAATCATGACCGTCCATTTTACTGCAGTCTAAAAGACATTAAAAGCGATTTCTACGCATATAAAATAATATATAGGCCTTCTGCTTAGCAACTGATTGCTCAGAGCATGACTTTACAGAGCTATCGTTGAAATGATACCAGTGGCTACCATGACGACCGTAACAAGTGTAATGACCAGAGCTCACTCTGCAAAATTAGTGAATGTTGATTTACAGACTGAAATTTCACTGGCAGAAAAAAAACTTGACAAATACAATGAAACTAACCTGCAAATGATGAAGATTTCACCAAAAAAATTGAAAATAAATATATCGGGTATAATTGAATATACAAAACTAGAAATATCATACTTTTGACTCAGTTAAACGTTCGTCTATTAATATGAATGCCGCTAGAATCCAACCTACATCACGAGCAAAAATTTCAAGATTTCCATTTGACATTTAGTTAAGAAATATTTTGGTAATTTCTTACCCAGATCCGTGATGAACGACCAAAGAAGAAAGATCATAGACAGTGCTACAGTCATCAGCGTTGCCATTTGCAGATAAACAAGATGAACAACTAAAACAACGAATCGATAATCACCGAGCCACCATTTATACATACAATTACCCGAATGAGTCATGGAATATGATTTTTATTGGATAATTCTTGATTTAAAGAATCAACGATTTTCAACTGTGCACAACCAATTCGCAAATTTTAACCATAAACTTTATGACATTTGTTTATTCACGTCATCTGAGGTAATGCTAACGTCCACCTTACCTGTTAGAACGTCTATCAGAAGTCATCGAACCTAATTCACTACCACAATTTGTTAATGACGTGTCACCATCCTGTCAACAAACAAACTCTATTATCATTCAGCAATCAATGTGATCATTTTTGAACAAATCAAAAATGATTTTTATTGAGCCACATAACTTCATATCGGCCTATAATGTGCTAGTATACACGTACAAAAGAATCAGTGACGTATGTTCATTCTACAGTAAGTTGACAGAGATTACATTTTCTGGTTGCTATCAATCAGAAAACAATCGAAACATTCACAACAACTGGTTGATATTCACTAATTACTGCCGGAATAGTGCAATTAAGAAATGCTAACATAACGAAAGAAATTAAAAGAAAAACTAATTTCGTACCTCATGAATCATAAAGCTTTTCATATCTAGAGATGTTAAAGGGAAATCGACCATATTATCCAACTTTCCTCTATGTGAAGAATTCGACCATCGAAATCGTTTCAAATGCAAACACAAAATCTGAACAGCGCAAAACGGTCAACGAATTACATACTTCAATACAAACACATCATATTATGAGATGAATGGGAAGATATCAAAGCATTCTATGATATGAAAATCTCCTTTTCATAATCACACAGATGCAAAATTCGTCCAAAAAAAAACTAACTGAACGTTTGCAACGTGAACACTGAGACGAAGAATACTATCCGGAATGCTCTAATCGGCGCAAAAAAAGAAGAAATATAAATTTGATGGAAAAACATGAAAGTGAATTGAGTACAATTAAATGAATGGATGCAGTAAGAAAGTGAATTCAACGAAACATACATTAGGAAGTGTTTTAACAAAAAGTTGCTTGGTAGATGGTCTCTTTTCATCGCAGTTGTTGCAAGTATACTGCTCACGACTATCCAATTCTTCTTTCGCAAAAAACCGTTTCATACAGTCCAAAAGTCTAACCGTACCAGCACGACAACCACTGGATGGCACATATATATCCAGTGAAAGGTCTTCAGCAAGACACCACATTATATTACATTGAACACATAACACGATAGATAAAACTTTAAAACCCATAGATATACCCTTTATATCAGTCAACATGGAAATTAAACTTTCTGACTGCATATTCAAGCATCGATACAAAAACGAACTAAACGATCATACATTTTCAATAAAGCATCAGGAACGTTTTCATATAAGGCGCAAATGAATTATAAGAAAAATGAGAAACAAATACTTTCAAAAAATGCGGAAGTAGTAAACATACCAAGAAAAGGGTCATGTTTGTTACTACAAGCACTGCATGACAGACACGTGACTTGACTTTGCAAAGTACCTTCGAACATTGCTGAGATCGCGCATGCTTTTTCACAGTTTGACAATCTAAAATCAACAAAGCACTACAATTCCGAACTCATTTCTCCACAAAACCTTTACAGCTGATTTCTGCTTGTCCTATCAACATCGTTCATTTTCAGATCCTTTTTTTTTTTCATTTTCAGATCCTCATTCAAAAAAGACTTCGTAAAATATCAGCATATGTGAATTGTTTACGTCGAATGATATATGGTAAACGCAATCATGCGCATTTACACATGAATAAATTTGTCTTTAACAAACGAATGAAGCAGTAGAAAGAAGTTATTCTTTGAAGCATCAAAATTATTTTGTAAATCAATATAAAAACAATTCCGGATGATATTTCAAACTTTTCTCTTGATGATGCTGTTGAAAGCTAGCATTTTTTGCCAGTAATGAAAACAAGTTACAAGCTACGAATTTAGAACGAACAAGGAGGATTTGATCAAGCTGAAAATGAAACGTTGGCCCTACTGAGACTATAAGAATTCTCAAAGAAAGATTATTCGCTGCATTTTTCCATTTTACAACTGTCATTTCTAACAATCCATAAATGTAACATCAAAGAAGCATTCATTGCAAATGTAATTTTCCGAAAGAACATGTTATTTCTCAAAGAACAAAGAACATAAAACGAACAAACCTATTTTTGCGTTTAGTGGTTAGGAAGTGCGAACTAGAACCAACTCTCACTCCACCATCACAAATCTCTGACAACAACCAATCAGGTATACGACAACTTTTTAGTTCAGTATGCATTCTATCCAGAAGACATCGCAGAAATTCATGCGCATCGTGTTGTTGAAAACCCCTGGAACATAATGTTATCCATTATTTCTAGCCTCAGCGAAATTGTGATCAAAGTAGCAAATGCGATGATAGAACTTCGCACCAGCAAACGTTACAACAAGAAAGAGTCGAAATAATAAAATAAAGTAACTGCAAGAAATTGACTTTTTAAAGTTGTGCGACGCATAACATATTTCAAACTCACACATCAACTCCAATTTAAAGTTACATTTCAGTGCCCGAAATGGAAAACTAATGATACACTGAAATTGAGGATTAAAACAAATTCAATCAATAAAACACGGAACGTAAAAGATGAAAATGCTTATCGATATTAACCTAAATCGCGGTGCTATTTTACAAAATTCAGAAAGCAAAGCATCGGGTCCGTATGCGTTAACCGCACCTCCTGATGCATTTGTGCCATTATCAATTTCAGACAACGTTCTTCTCAGTTGTTCAGATATGAAACTGAAAAATACTGAAATGTTTAGTTATGAGATAACCCCTCAACTTCCTTTCGCATGACAATATCAGCTAACGACCATCTGATAAGGACTGTGTGAATAACCAACTGAACTCTGATACAACGACTTTGGACGAAGGCTAATCAACATTTTGAGTCTACTAACACTAGACTAAAGTACCGGCACGTCCTCTAGGAATTTTTAATACAATTTATCTCATATTCATTGCTGATTTCGTCATCTAATATTTGAACCATGAATAAAATTCGTAATTAGAAAATATACTCGACTATTTCTATAGTGAGCACTGCAACAAAAACGTTCATCAACATCCATATATCTCAATGAATTCAAAATATTACTTAGCTAACCATTTTAAGTTTGCACAAATTTTCCTATTCTTTGTTCATAAGCCAGTATCGGATCCCTATTGCCTTTACTTTCTTACATTGTTTCTAAAAATTAAATCTATGTCCCCGATGATACGAGCTTAAAAGCCGAAATATCGCTGGAATAACTACTGTACTTAATATTATTACTGTCNTATTCTCAAAGTTTTTGATGTTCTCATTGCAACTGCAATAGTGAATATTATTATAATTATCATTGAATTTAACGTCATATAAAGTAATAAATATCTTGCATCTATACCTCTTGAACCGAAACAAACCATAGAAACATAAACAATTCCGATAAATGAATACATACAAAGAGACGGAAACGTGAAGCTTAACGATCGTTCGTAATTATTCAAACAATAACGTACGCATTGGTAGGACGTTTTTCTGAAGCAATGTTTGGCATCGAACTGCGTGTGTTGTATCGCGGTGTGCGAGTTTCAGTGCCATCGCCACCGATATCATCAACGACCAGAGGTGGAAGCGAACAGATAAAATAGCGGAACATCTGCACAGAACTGTAAAAGTGAAAGTTTGAACATGCGAACGATGTTTGGAGAATGCAAACATGACATATAAAGGCGAGGGTATGACGCTCACTTCAACGCTTGCAGCACAGCGTTCATGAAACAACTGTTACCGAGATTCTTTAATCCACGTAATTTTTTCTCTTCAACGCCGATCAACTTCGTACCCGACTGACTTAAAACTGGTGGAGTTGGCGACTCTTGTCCTGATTCATCCTTTAAAAAAACTTTTCTTACGGCTACAACAATTCGGAAAATGATTACGATGACAAAAAGACATTGCGCTTCAAAACAAATGCACACTATGAGAAGTATAATCAATTATTCAGTTCATAGTAATTCTTAAAAATAAAACAAACCGATTTACACGATATAAATAAGATCCATCGGAAAAACTGGAACAAATTCAATTTTTTTGCAATCGCTAACGACAAATTAAGGTATAGAAAGAAAAGCATATCATGTCTGACTAATCTGACAACAAAACAAAAAAAAAAACATTCGCAAAGCACCTTTCGTTTACGATTTCTCAACGATCTTGTAGTTGGGATAATCAAATTTTCATTTGAAGAGTTCGGTGTTGTAGTCATTATTGCACTGTGCAACAGCTGCGAACTGATCGGAGTTGAAAGTGCAACATTGCTCTTATGCGCATTACTGTTGTGCGCATGAGATGTATTTACTTCATCCATTTCTGCACATTCATCTCCACTCGATACCAGATGGAATTCGATTGCATGCCTCCTCAAAGCATGTATATATCAGAAACAATTACCCAGCAGTTAAACAATCGTAATAATAATAATCAAAAGTTCAATTGAAAACTCACCTATCAGCTCCAGAAAATGATGCTTCTTCTGCTTCATAGTCATCGTCTTGCTCGGTGGCAACTTGCACCTCAAGAGTATCAACTTCATCGGTAAGGAAAAAGGTTTGTTTCGTACGTTGCATTGTGGTAATTGTTCGGCTTTCTGCTACACCTTCTTCACAAAATATTGGTGGGGAGTCTGTGGCTGAGATTTCGATTATTTCTTCAGGTTCAGGAACTGACTCATATTTGGTTGATGAATAACTGTGATCCTCACTCCTGAACAATTCATTCATCAGCATGCGTTCATCAAATGCCAATTTAAACTCATCAAATAGTTCCTTTTGCATTTGATCATGATCATATTTAGTGCTTCTTCACACATTTCATCGATGGATTTGTTCCAATAATAATGTAACCGATAAAACGATAATAATGACTAAGATTATGATAAATCATTTTAACCATGGTAAAAATCCTTTGTTTTATTGATTAAAACCTTGATCAATTTTGTCTCATCATTTCTTATTCAATGGGCATTTGTAAGTGAGATCGAGAAATGGATTTCAATCGAAAAGTTCTCTTTTGTGAATTGAATTTACGTTTAGGGCATGAACAAAATTAGAAATGAATTATAAAGTGGGAACGAAATTAACCGTGAGCAGTTATAAAATTCAATCGATGATCGAACCGATGCTATTTTATGGTCATCTGTATCACCCCCAACAAAATCGTCGCATTGGTAACTGGAAAAAATTCGAGTAAGCATATATAATGGCGAATTAATACAGTTTTTATGAGCCTAATCTTCAAAAGCCATTCATCGTAATGGCGAAACAAAAATGATGCTTGTTGAATGTCGGTATCTTATTACATTATCTTCAAAGGATCACATCTTTACTACGAACCAATGAGACTGTGAAGATCATCATTTTCACTGCAATTAGACAGTTTGAAGCTTCATGTCGATTTAAAACATAAATATCTGTGCAAAATAAAAACATCAGAAAACGTGAATTTAGGCATCATATGCAGGTAATGATAGATAGTGAACAAACCAAAAAACACTGTAATTATGACAGTCCATAGAAACGGAATGGTTCGGATAAGTTCGATAATGTTTGAGACCATCTTGGTTCACGTATCGACCACAATGTATAAGACCACATGATAAACACAGCCAAGGACATTGCGATGTACCACATTCTACACAATTCCATTTACCGTCCTCTCTGAAGTAATGTAAATACTTGTGCACATTCTAAAATTTCACGTCTTAATTGAGACTGAAAAAGCATCGTAAAATACCAGCTATCGCTCACATTCGCTCGAAACAGGACGAAAACCATGAAAGCGATGTTCCTTTCGTAGACTGCTTTAGTTTTTCATCGCTCATTCCATACTTACAAGCGTAAACGTGATCATTTGTCAAGAAGAATGCTCGCATAATTATAATTTGATAGACTCAAAATCTTGCTACCAATATGCCATCAGATATTTATTTTCAAAATCAAAATAATACTCGAAATCATTAAAAATGAAAAGTGATTACGCAAACGACGACATCTCATATTTCCTCTTCAACATTAATAAATTGCGCGTTTGTATAACCGAATTCGAGTCGTTCGATCTCTTCCGCTTATGTGTTTCAAAACCACCGTAACCAAACCGTTTCAACTGTTCCAGATCCAACTGTGCAATGCAAACGGATCGGGAGAGGTGAGGACAATCAACCATCACCTAAGAATGCTTCAATTTACCTTGAATCGATTAAACGATAACTTGTATTATCGCAATAAATGAAACGTTTCAATTCACGAACAAAACGAACGTCACGAAATAACCATTAATAATTAACGATAATTGTGAAAACAAATAAAACAGTTGACGATTGAATTCGAAAAGACTACTTGGTAGAAGTAACATTTCGAATCGTTTTCAGTAAACCGTTTCAGAAAATGCGAGGTAAAATTCATTTGCTTTTTAAAAAAAGAATGACAATCTAAGGGCTTCAATGATAACGGCAAATTTCAGATACGACATTAAAGCTTGAACCAATGAAAATATCGTAAATCAAGTCTACAGAAAATATTAAATGCAATTCGTATAGAAAATGTTCACGTTTACTGTTCCCGTTGCAACCTTCCTTCGCAATTCGTTAATCGTATGAAGTTACCAGAAAGGATTTAGTATCATGATATTTTAACAATATTTGCGCCATTGAATTCACACGAGATACTGATTTGGTTGAAAAAACATAAAAGTGTAGAGCACATCCATCGGAAAGACAAGCTTCATTTTCACACTAATCAGTTATTTAGTTATGAAAAGCAAAAATGAGCACGATATTATTTGTCTGAAAAACGTATAAAACTGGCTTAACATAAGAAAAAACGTTTGACACAAGAATCTGTGCAAAAGCTGCTGATTGCGAGCATTTTTAGCAGCATCCTCATTAGAAGTTTCAATGCTCGCCAAACTGTTAGTGGTTCCGTATCAACATCATTGAGCACAGCAATACGGCTGAACCTCAACCAAAATTCAAGGTGAATCAAATTCTATGCAAACAACCAATCCTGTACTTAATTATGAGCCTAAAGCAAAATCTGCACTTCGCACTGAATGACAAATAAGCTGCAACATTTACAATGATCCTGAGCTACTTTTACAATCATCTTTAAATGACAATAGTCCTGACTGATCGCTGGATTCTGTACAAGACTAATTTATCAATTTCACGGTCTTCAACGAGTGTGCTAGTAAGGAATTGTGTTCATGCACAGCACATCCTCGTTTGAGAAGAAACACTTGAAGGTGTACGATAGTGCGACCGAACACGATGTCGCGCCTATTCGAATCATTTGTTCTGAGTTTTTTGAGGCTGGAAAATACTATATAGCTGAGCCAAATTTTCTGTGAAAGGCAATTCTGATATGAGCATTAACGGATGTGTTTTTGATGTTCCCCCTATCTGAAGCCAGGATAATGTCGACTCCAATGTTGAGGCAACCCACTCCAAAGGATGTGTATGTGATTGTTTTGGGAGGTTGCCAGCCAAAATCAAAATCTAGCCATACGTCGAAAACATAGTGACCAAATGTGCTTGAACAGCTTCTGCGGTGTGACTGTGTCATTGCTTGTAATTGTTGCTGTAAATTCTCTGCGGACATGGACTTACTGTTAGATCCGGGTTTAAATTTCGATTCAAGGTTATGTTGACTCAAGAGTCAGAACAGATTCACAAGCTAATACAGTATAGCCAGCATCGCTTCTATTGTGCGACTTTTTGAAAATTACGGCTCCTGAACTCCTGACTAGCAAACTCTTCCGATGATCCTTAAACACACCGGAAATTGTCGTGCATTTGTCCTCACGTGTGTGCTCTTCGTTCGTTTCAGTTCAAAAATTATCCGATGGATATTCATGCCATACCACTCACTTTTTTGTCTCGCAGCATTGCCATTAGCGTTATTCAGATCGAGTTTCGCTGTGGAAACACCTCAAGAATGCGCACCGTTTTACCCTTTTCATAAGAGTCATATCATCACACGGCTATAGCGATGGACATTCCCGTACTTTACGCTCTCAGCTAGGCTAACGGATCTGCAGAAAACACCAAACAGCTGGGTGTCACCTATCGCTATACAGACAGTTGCAAGCTTAAGATATAATGCCAAATCTTTCAGCTAAACAGCAAGCATAAGTTCAAACGGCTCCTCTCCCGTGCAAACGTTTGAAGTGCTGAAGTCTCAGAAGGAGTTTGCACCGGACATCTTCTCTCATTTGTCAACCTCCAAATGAAGTGTCGATGCGAACCTTCCATTATACACCTATTCAAGTGAGCTTCGTACCGTTAAGATATGATGCATAAGAATGTTGTAATCGAAGGGTGCACATGAAATCCGATTCAGTGTGACGTGACATTCAGACTGGTTTTTCTGCACTTCTCTGCCAGTCATGGTTTTTAATGAGAGATGCAAACTTGTGAAGTTGAGCGCCCCAGCTTGAGAATAAGCTGAAGTCCAGTCATGGGCTTATTGTCTGCGCAATCTCGACCATTTTCAGTACCGTGACTGAGATTAAATCTTGAGATAATTTCAGGATTCAATAGCTTCAGGAATACGGAAGTGCTACGTGTTCAACAGATTCTTTTTGAATGAGTGTTTTCATAATTACTTTAGAAATTTTTTAAATCTGAAGCAATTTAATCATCAAATCAGTAGCATTTTAAAATCTGCAAACAAAGTATTAACATCGCAACAAAGTTCAATTTTGCACAGAAAAATGAAAATGTCGAGAAAGCTTGTTCACTTTTGGCGGTTGTCGGTGGAATCGTTTCAGTTGATCTGAACAATTTCTTTTCCATATTTACAGCTCTTTTCTCCATTTATTCGTTCAGATGCACTTGGAAGATTATTGTACGGTTCAATTCATTAGTTTTATCGCTTCATTTTTGCAAATAGGCATTAATTCTACTTTTTTGACGAAGATAACGTGTTCCTCCCTATCTTGAGGTAATTCAATCGCTATCGATGAGGACAATCAGACTCATCATCATTTTCTTTCATCGCACAAAAAAGCCTCGAAGAAGAGTTCACTGCCAGTTTTACGATATTTTTCTTCACAATACGCATCTCGTGTAACCTAAATCCTTCCGAATTTAATCAGAATTTTCGTGGACTACCCTTTAACTTCTTTGATTTCACACCAAAATTTAATTTGCAGTTTCGTTTTCTTTTGTCAATATTCCCACCGACATTATTTGAAGACAAATTTCTACAATAAATTTAAACTTGATCGATTATGTTAACAGAAAGGCAAAGCAACGGTGATGACGACAGAAGAGGTAAGAGTGATGACATTACTAAATTACTGATCACTGCTTTGTCAAGAACGAATGTCGGGGTGGCACTCTTGCTCCATTCATTGATACTTGAGTGGTGAATAGCAAATAATATTGAACTGGGAATGATCAAGATGAGTGCATTAAGCAAATTATAAAATATGCTATGCTTTAATAAATCCCGAAATCCCAGGATTTTTCAGACAATAAGTCTCGGGACCCTGTGCAAATACTATATGGACCACAGTGTAAGCCACATTTTGAGCCTATAGCAAAGCGTAAGAAAGGCAACTGAATGCCATTTTCCGCTTTTCATTACAGTCAAGTTTTATCTCTATAACAATCCTAAAACCACGAGAAATTACTCGCTATTTCTGAAGTTTTCTTGATGAATTTACTCTTTGCCGTTTAATTCCTTTGTGAGAGTAGTTGAGTAATCAGATGTGTCCAGCAGAAAATGAGCATTTTGATTTTCAATATTTCGTTATTAGCAACAACTTTATTGTTAGCAGTTGACGTACGTATGACCACATACTAGTGTTGCTTTGTGTTCGTTCAGCAAGCTCATATTCAGTCCTTTCCGTGCAACACCCAAATCATTGTTGTATCTCATGGCTCGCAACCTTCAACAGCTATCATGTTATTTAGCTCTACTCAGAGATGGGCAGTAGCGCGATATCGCTACGTTTTGTTACACAGTGGTAGCGCGTTACTGGCTCTACCAACTGCGCTTAAAAATTCTGCCCCGCAAGCACCAACCAGTTATTTCTTGAGATCGTTCTGTGCTGTCCCAACGAATGTACCAATGAAGAAAGTGGAAGTAACGCGTGATGACAGTTCGAAAATTGTCTTTCATTGTTATAAATATGAAATGTTTTTGGTTATTTGTGTCACGAGAAGAAAATGCCATTTCTCATCACAATGAAACAGCTATTTCTGTATATTATAAATTTGCCAAAACCTTCATTGATATACTTTGACACTTTCTATAAAGTCGAGAAAAAGTTTACGTAAATGTCATTCCAGAATGTTGTTCAGTTTTCCTTGCCAAAGACTGTGCATTGTCTATTTTTTCGTGTGGTTCAACAGAACAGAATATTATTGTTAAAATCACAATACGGCTTTGCGGTTATCTCTTTTGTATCCTACAAACTGCTTCCTTTCGATGCGTTTCCAACACATATTGCTGTCTGCAAACTTACACTAGCGTGATGCTAAAGATGGGAAATTTCGGGGATTCCATTCCCGATTTCCTGTCTTGATTTTTTTCTATTCGACCGCACTTTCGAGGTCTTCAATTTTTACAGAATCCTCGGGATCTCCGTCGTAACCCGAAAACTTTCGGAAATTCTTCGAATTTTCTTCGAGAATTGATAAAATCGTATCAAAGCATCAAAAACATGAATTTTACTCAGTTCACGTTACACCATCGTAAAAGACTTGTTGAGTATCCGACATACTCAACTTTTTCTTCGGTGGTTGCATTTTATATTTTTTCTTTCACTGTTGTCATTCTACCGTGTTTATTAGAGTGCATTTTTCGTAACGTAGAACGTTTCAGGTACGTTAATTTTTGACGAAATCTGTACTTTCCATTTAATTGTTGAAAGTCTCTCATATTTAGCAGTGTGCATCATTTCGGAAAGTCATTTAGATTTGTTGTTAAATATTACACATTGTTTGTTTTTTGAAGTGATTAAATATATTATTGTTTAAACTGCACTGTGACCTCGCGGTCATCTCCACTCTACCCTAAAGCTTATTTCAATACTTTTCCAGTTAGAAATTTGTATTTTCAAGTATCTACTGGCTTCAGTTCAAAAATTCTATTTTCGGGGTTATGGGACGAGATATAGTTTTTTGCCTAAAATTCTCCGTCCCCGATTCCCATCTCCGACTTTTTACAAGGCGGCCACATTTTCAGGATTGCCGATTGCAAATTTCATCCCTGGCTCCCTCGTCTTCGACTTTTCCTTCCCCGCAACACACTAGACCTCTTGCATGATTTCCGAGGTTGGGATTCGTCCGTACTGTTTTTGTATGTCCTTAGTCACCTAACCAACCGATTCACAGCAGAACAGCGTAAAAGGTATAACGAGTGGGTAGTAATTAAATAATAAAACAACTTCACTACACTTTGTGCAGTTCAGCACCACATTTTGGACTTCCACAGAAAAGTGAACGATTGCATCCGAAATGCTTATGAAAAGTGTTTATCGGCTAGAATAAAAGATGCCATAAGATCGATATAAAATATCAATTTGAGAAGAATATCAGCTATGTTTGAATATCAGCATACAGCGATCAGCTGGGTAGTTAGGACTGCAAATAAACTGAACGTCGTTTATGAATACTGCTTTATGAAACTGGCATGGAATCCTTTGAAGCGTTCCAACATTTCTTTCATTAATGATGGTTGAGGTAGAATCGTTGTTCTGCAAGAAAAGAGAAGAACATTATCATGAGATGACATTTTTTCCTTATTTCATATCTTTGAGCATTTTCATAGTTGAGTACACTTAACTCTTCACACGTTCATCGTCAGACCTTCGTTTATGAATAATTCAGTGACATGATGGATGGAAAATAAAAGGATGAATAAAACCATAACAGCAAGCAACTGAAGTGCTCACCGGAAGTGGTAGGTACCATCCTTCTGACCGAACCCGCTCCCAGGGACAACGCAAACGCCAGTAGCTTCTAGCAGCTGCATAGCATAGAAGAAATCTGGTGCTTGGTTCAAAGACTGCAACAAAATCAGTTTAATTGCAATTCTTGTTCCACTGCATTTCATTTCACTTATGTCTCATTGACGAATGTCATCAAATCTTAGTCATCCTGATAAGCATGTTATTCTATACAATGTCAGCAAATGGCAACTGCGACAAACATTTAGATTATTTTGACGCAATTAGCAATAACGTGTAATACTTGTCTGTGTTAAGTAAAATACGATCATCAGCTTCACAATTTGTCTCATTCAAGAAAGAAATAATGACTGATATCAATCAACATTTAAAAACACAATTACAAACAATAACAATATGTAATTGTTTTAAAATAATTCATCAGCATCCATTCGTTGACGACTATTCTGTCATACTCATGAAAATCGCTTTTCAATTTTATAAACAACTGCATATAAACAGACAAAAATAATTGCATAACATGAAACCTTAGCTTTCTGGATAGCCTTGGGGGGCAGCATAATTTGCGGGAAGGCATACATGGCTCCTTGAACTGGATTACATTTGATACCTTCAATTGCGCCATAAGCTTCTTTGACCAACCTCGCGCGTTCTTTCAACGAATTCAATGTGGCTGTCTTCTCCTAGAACAATTTTATAGGATATGCAATTAATTTTGCGGTAGTATCTTACATCATCTGCTGTTTTTTTTCGCGAAGAAAAGCGAACCCATTATAATGGACCGCAAATAGGTACGGCAATGAGTTGATGAAATTAAGGGCTTGTTGACTGCTATATACTACCTTCTCTTCGGACCAGTATTCCGACGAGGAAATCGTGAAATATCAACGAAGGAAATAAGAGGGATGAATGCATGGAGAATGGATTTACTGATGGACTTAACATTATGATCAAGAGTAACCAGAAAACTACTCATGCTGATCAATTTCCAACAGGACGGACAACAAGCAATAACACATGATATGTGCCGTAATCCACGAATTGCAACATAAAAATGCTAAAAGAATTTTCCAACAATTACCTTTAACCATAAATCATATGACGGATCACCTTGTTTGGGAGGGTTCACAACACAATCCATCACTGTCTGAAAATGAGTAATTCAGAAAACTATTTAAAGCGAATACTGAAGCCTTTAAAATAATATTCATCCATTTCACCTGTCCTAAAATGGTGGAACAAAGTTTAGCGGAGATCATCTTCTTGAACATTGCAAACACTTCAGGATCTAGATTCACTAGCTCGGCATAACCTCCTCGCATTCCACATTCGCCCATATATCCTTTCGAAACCGAGTGGAACGAGGCTAACTCGTGCCTTAATCAACCGCAATTATAATCATAACTGAACATAACATATGGTAACCCCATTCGTTCGACTCAGTTATTTTTCTTCTGTATGAATTCCATGTTCAAAAGAAACTATATAGAAATATTATGGGATCAAATATAAATGCAATGGAACAGATGAAAACGCACTTCGAATACGGTTCACCCATACTCATCATCACTTTCTTGAAACTATGGAACTTTGAGCCTTCTGCATAGATATTGTCTTGATAAACCTAAAACAACAAAGTCCCACTTTCAAATGGAAACATTAGGAAAAACCGTTCTTGATATGACAAATTCGAAAAGGAAATTAAGTAATGAAAAACAACTTGAATTGTTTTATAGTTCTAGAAGAACTTATAGTCAGCTAGGCGACCTTGAGAAGATAATTGTTGAATTAATCGACGCATTAAGACGAACTGATCAAGTGATCCTCGAATGATTAACAATATTAATGATGACTGCAAAACTGCTCTGTAGAAAAAAGTGATTAAACATCTTGAACAACACAAACCTCATCAGCCATTAGGAACAAGTCATTTTTGACCGCAAAACGAATGATCTCTTCGATATTTTCTCTGGATAGCACTTGACCTGAACTTGATTGACAAGCTTGAATACAGATTCCTCGCAGATCTTTTTGATTACGAAACAATCAACTTTATAGCACGATTTTATCGTATCTAATGTATATTTATTGATCAAAAATTCTCAAAGATTTTCTAACAATATTATCTTACGTATTATTACAATATTATCAAACACAATAAAGCCAGTACTCGAGATCGATACAAACGATGAATAAATGCAAAAACATTCACCAGTTGGATTGCCAGGATTAATGACACAGAGCACACGGGTGTCATATTTGCTTCTCGATTCCTTTAGCGCACGCTCAAGTTCACTGATTTCGAGAGCCCAATTTTTTTCCTCTTCGAGATAGTAGCCAACCTACAAAACTATTAGTGCTGGTTTGCATTAAATCAAACATTGATTATATTGTTGAAACAAAACACAGTTGGGCGCTTAATTTGCTTAAATTTAACATTCGTCCAAATGATGAAACAATTTCGAAGATGGAACAAACGTTTCAACAGAAAAGGTGAACAACGTCTGTCCTGAGATGAATTTCATATCTGCATAACACAATCACATTAATCAAAATCATTGTTTGCATTTCACAACAAAATAACGATCGATACGAATGCAAAAAGCGAACAATGCTCGCATGCTCAAATCATATAATCCCATATTTTCAAATAAAACAACTCATTCTTGAAGCAAGTCTTCAGCAGTAAACATCTGAATGAACAGACAAACGCAAGCATGAGATACAATAATACTGATATTAATAATCAAACTAGCCTGGCCAAGTCCGAATTCTGCAACGGTGGCTGAGTACAGTGGATACTGTGGAATTGGAATCATCACGCCAGTTTGCTTCGGCGATTCGTGATTGATGAACAGTTTCAAAACATTCTTAAAGTTGAATTTCATAGTCGGCATTACCAAATATAACATTTATGATCTATAAATAATTCAGAAAATATTTTGAACGATTAGAAAAGCATCAAATGATTGCTAAAAAATGCCCTTAAAAATGACAAGAAAATGTAAATAGAAAAGCAATCAAACAATTTAAAAATCATGGATAACCTTATCAAACTGGGGTTAACAAACGAAATTAAGAAATATCACATAAGAGAGAAACTTCTTTTACATGACTATAATAGAACAAGAATGAATCTGAGCAGAGGAAGGCATTGGACATCCGTTATTTGGTCAGTGCGTTCTGCTATTCAGTCATCACCGTGAGGATATCAATAGCATCAAATCAATAATAACCATCTCAGGATTCGAATAGTTTGTGCATGTCATTCACTGAGAATTCTTAAAAGTTTTCGCCTTTCGGTATATGCTTTTCCAGCCTTCGATGAGAGAATCGAATCGGCTTGTAAGAACGCGAAGATGATAATATAACAACCCTTAAGTTTGAGATGTCAAATGCGAAGGATTCGTCTTTGCTACATTCCCTGCCAAAGCTTAGTGAAAATTAACCGTTTAGAGGAACAGAGACGATATATAGAAACCCCTCTTAACTTATATTTCTGTTACTTGAGTTTCATCTGCAAGTCGAAATTCCGTAAAAGCTTCATTGAGAGCACATATTTGTTAGAATATTTTCATGAAAATTATCTTCTGCACAATCACGAAAAGTGAATGAAAAACGATCAAAAATAATTCACTAACAATTCGTTATGAAACTGTTGGCTGTGCAATACGTTTCATTAATCACCTCATGGTTCAGCCTCTACAGCTACTTGATCAATCAAGGAAAGCAGCTTCAACGATCCAACAATCAAAGACCAGTTGGTCAGAAGAAAAAAGTTATGGTTTTGCAAACGCCGTTATCAGTGTGGACGATCTACCGAGTGACGAAACTAAATCCTGAACGCACTGACAGTCTAATGTGAAGTACAATTGAGGGCCGCTATTGAAAGCCTACCTCAAGATATTAACTGTTAGTGTCTATCATTATATCAAATTTAGGAGGAAAAGAATTTGAAATAAATACAGAATTTGAAAATTCATCATCAGTTTCATTATAACGACTGAACAACAGATTATATTTCGATGTAGAAAGAGCACAAATATAAACCTGTTGATGCTCACGAATGCATTCAACAGGGTTACCCATAAAAGCTAGTCAGCTGGATTGCTCACGTTCCAACTGTTAGTGATTTTAAGAAGATTTAAGACCATATCAAGCCTCCAGTCTCAACCCTAAGCTGAAAGCAAGTTTCAGCCTCCCAAAAGCAGATATTCCTACGACAACCTAGTTTTATAGATCACTTATGCATAGTCATACTGCTCAACTGTTTGTTAAGCCTTGATGGTTATCTTTTAGAAACACAACTGAATTTTGTTTAATAGTTGTAACATTTTTGGAACTTTTGTGAATGACATTTACGAATTTGCATCTAATTTCTGCTTTGTTTACAAATCATATTTGTTCAGATTCTGATCAATATAAAAAACTACCCGCTACGAATAATAAAACATTTCCCTGTATGAGAGGGAATTTTAGACAAACAGGAAATAGACGGACAAAACTAGCTACGAAGCATAACGAACCCAAGCTTACTCGAATGCTTTCCGAAGCACCACCCGAAAGAACAATTGTTTCAGGATCTGATGGAATACCACCATCACGACGGGTGATGTACTCTGAGACGTGTTTCCTGATGATTTCGATCCCATTGCTTTGGCTTAAATATTTCTTT